ATATGCTGAAAGTATGTTGTAATGTGGTTTATGGAATTTTTGGACAATGATGCCAAAAACCAAAAAACGGACTATCCTAGCTTTAAGCATTGTTTTTAACCCACTACGAGCAGTACATCAGTCAAACGTGTCGTTCCTGCTGGCAGTAGGTGGTGCTAATAATGTAACTGAATATTGGCACATATCAGGCTGGGACTCTTTGAAACATGTTAAATTTGGGGTCTGGTAACACATTCTCACTCAATACATCATCCCCAACAAGATCTTGTTCACCTTTGCTAGTGGATAGTGACACAATACTCACAGGACGCAATGAAACTGCAGCATCATCACAGCTTCCTCTCCTCATTGCTGCAATTCCATGATCCAAAGGGTTCATTCTGGTGCCTCTGAGTAGCCCTCTGCTGTCCTGTACTGTTGTTTATGTAGTCGGTTGGCAATTTTCAATTTGTAATGAAGAAGAGAAGAAGTTGCGTCGCAGTTTGACGGTTCTGCTGTGAATAACCTAGGGAGCGACGCAGAATGACGCCGCCTGTCCTGGACAACAGCCTCTTCTAACTAGTGCTAATGAGGGTTTGAACAATGGAGGCCTGACTGGAGCACAAAAGAGGAGACGGGTTTTTGTGCCTGACCTGGACCTGCAGTGCTACCAACCAACCCCTCAACCTCTAAAACCCTCTTCAAGCATCCCTCCCTCCATCTCTACATCCCAGCCTGTTCTGTTACACTCCAGTGGGACAGCTTCTGCTCATAATGGGATCTCTGTGCGACCTCGTCCCCATTTCCAGGCTAACAAGAATGAAATGCTGTGACAGCATCAGAAAAATAGGATCCTGCAGATTGGCCCCACATTCCTTATACAAGAAGAATTGATGCAAACACACACACACACACACACACACACACACACACACACACACACACACACACACACACACACATACACACACACACAAAGTTTTAGATAAATATTCATATATTCATATACATCTCTGTCAGGATATAGCTTAAATTCCTACGCAACTGGAGTGCTTTTAAATTTTCTCTGGTAAATACACATTACTCTTGTGTGCTCGTGAATAAGGATTGGAGAGCATTTAAATTAGGAATCTTCCATGTTTGTAACCTGTAACTTTCATTCCTAAATTAGGTGCAGGTTCATCATTAAATAAAATGAGCTGTGTGCAGTCCACAAGACCCACGTTGTTGACTAGGCCAAACATAGAGGATCTGTCACCATGCATAAACAAGAGGAAGGCCACTGATGATGGTGTGGCTCCTCTGAAGAAGATGAGGTGTCGTTTACGTGACAGCAATGACAACAACAACAACACCTACAGTTACGGTGGACAGACACACACTGTGGACCTCAGTTGCAACATCACCAACAATGTCTCACTTGAAGATGAGCAAATTTTGGAGATGTCTCGTCAGCAAAGACTGGCAGAAGTAAGCAGATAGTGTGAAACACAATGGAGATCACTTTGTGTGCTGTGATTCCGTGTAGTTAAATGAAGGCTCTCAACCAGCTCCTTGTACAGGAGGTTCTTTCAACCTCAGGCTTTTCACAAAGTCTAAAAAGTTCAGAGTTAGAGTGGAACCAGTTCAAACACAGGAATAGATATAAAGAGTAAAAACAGTTGTGATAAACAGACCAACTAATAAACTGTCTGTGTTTTCAGTGGAGTTTATGAGAAGTATCATCAAATCAAATGTCAAATCTGCTTTGAAGAATCTATAGCCACAGCTCAGGGTAATGCTGTCGTGTTTTCAAATCCTGAAATTGTATCTGTAAAAATTTCCTGTGCTGTGACTTGACAAAAAGTTATATTGAGAGTTAGTTTATTGAATTCAATGCCACAATACAAAGTGTTTTAGAAATGTTATTTTGAACTGTTGCAAAACCACACACACACATACACACACATACACACACATACACACACACACACACACACACACACACATACACACACACATACACGCACACACACACACAAAGCTGTACTCCTCGAGTTGATCTCTTAAGGACCATGGAGGATTTAATTTAAAGATCATTTTTTCTGTTTTTACTTACCTGGCTTGTGTTGCATCAGTGTGTGAGTGTGTTCGTCATTTGTTTTGCCACAGACACAGTTCCTACCCTACTTCTCAGACTTCTAGATAGAGATAACAAGTAATTCCTGCGATTTTTCATTTTTCATTTGCCTGTTGACCCACTTTCAGGACACTTTTTCACGTATTAAAATTTGAGGCTATATTTGAACTACAATGTCTCAAAACCATTGTCACAAGCTAGACAATGTGCAGAAAGTTCAAGTGAGAGTACATGTATCCTTATAGTAACTGCTCAAGAGTTTACCTTTAAGCATCTCTTCCATATGTATATGAATTTAGGAGTTATAATAGGTAAGGTAACAGTTCACTCTGTCTCGAAATCTTTTTTTTTTTTAAAAGGCCCATATTAAAAACAATGTCTTAGTTTAAAAAAACATTTTGAAACTCCAGAACTCAGTTCTACTTGGATTAGGCTATATAGTGACATTTTTGTTTTTGTGGTACAACTCGTCATACAGCTATGAAAGTTAGATTAAAAGTACTTTTTTTTCTCTGTAATTTGTTACCAAGTATTTCATACTTAAATGTATATTATGTATATTTTGTTTTTTGTTATTGTCACATTCAACTACATATTGCTCAGAAAATATCATTAGTTGACTTCTACATTATCAGTATTTTTTGGTCGTGTGTGCTCAAGATGGGGCTTTTCATGACGGCTTTAACTATTTAAAATATATTTTATCTTGACCATAATTAAAGATTGTCACGACCCGGCTCCAGGAAGGACAAAGAGGAGAAGACCACACATGATCAGAGAAACTTAAATTTATTTTAAGCAAACATAATTTACCCAAACAAGCTAAATATCTGGATCAGTGCCATCAGTACTGTGTAGAAAACACAAGAATCCATACAACTTGATGGAAATCCTGGCCCAGAGAGAGAATGAGCTGCTGATTCCAGTCAGCTTAAAAAGCTGATGAACAGCCAGCACAGGTGTCAGCCATCAGCTGATGGACTTTCTGTTCTTCTAAGGGAGCTTGAACTCCAGCCAACCAAGACAGCCCAAACAGAAAGTCTGTGGGCTGTCACAAGATTATTTAATCTTTGTCCAGTATTGCAGATTATGACCTGGTATGCTGAGATATAAAAGAGAAATAAAAATTTCAGGCTTTCATCTAGTTCCTAGTATATAGCGGTTCAAACACAGAAATAACCAGGACATTTATTTTCTGTTGTTTCCAGTCCCTGGTCCAGCCTCAGTTCAGAATAACATCTATATATTGTCCTTTTGTAACACTGTGCCATACCCCCCACTTCCAGTGTGTGTGTGTGTGTGTGTGTGTGTGTGTGTGTGTGTGTGTGTGTGTGCCTGTGCTTCTCCCTGAATAGGTGATTGGATTATCAGCTGACTGAGGACACCTGTGATGGGGAGTGGTTCACCTGTCTTGTATTTGGCTTCTTTGTTCTGCACTGTCCGTGCACGTTTATAATTTTGTGTAGGCCTGTGATACACAGTTCTGGTTAATTTTCCCTGCCTGTAAATGTATATATAATATCTTGTGTTTAGGTCTGCCTTGTGATTTACGATTCACGTCTTTAGCTTTGTGTCCCTTCTCGGTTTATGTAGATCTCCTGTGTCGTGAGATCGTCTGTGTTGTAATTCCCTGCCTTGCCTCCGAGTGTCGCTCTCATCTCAGTTCCCGAGTATCTCTTGTCCCTTTTTGTCTTGGGTGAATTTTTTTTTATATAAATTGTTGTTCTGTGTGCGGTGTCTCTCTGTATGCATTTGGGTCTCAGTACAAACCATGACAATAGCCAACGGATTACTGGGTCCAATGCTGTAAAATAGACTTGAAAAAGAAAATAAAGCTGTTAAGGGGAAATGGGAAAGGCTACACATGAAGTAAATTTTTATCTGTAGGGTAAAAAAAAAAAGAAAGATATTTTTTGACAGTTGTTAGTGATCTTAATTTTTATTTCATTGGTATAGTACCAAATTCCAATACTTTAAAGCTTTTTAAAGTGTAAATTCCTCAAAGGGTATTCTAAGGGCCTAAAGCACATCAGATGTTTTACTGATCCTGGTGAGCTGAATATTGACCCATTGTATATTTCCAAAAAAATAGCTTCCTGTTGCTATATCTGACTGAGTCATCATAGTGGCAGTTTGTATGTATATAGTAACTGATTTGACCAAATTATGATTCTATGACTATGACTGAATTATTTTACAGAGTCTGTTATTTACATGTCAGTTTATAGATAGACAATGTAGACATGTGGGAAATTGACTACTTAAACAGGCTTAAAGTCTCAGTCCATTACCATAGTAGGCAGACATCTACTAGGCTTCCAAAACAACATTTATTCAAGGCTGTCTTCCTAAAAAGCTATGAATGGTATTTTCAGTACGGCTCACAACTTTATTGTGTGAGTCTTTTGTATTAATATAAATGGCACATACTTCAAAGTGACTGTGATTTTTACAGTTAAGCCCCGAGTCCCCAGGTCTGCTAGAGCTTCAAGAGACACAGGAGAAGACAATGGGTGAGTGTGGTTTCTCGGGAATTAATGTTACTGTACACTTAAGGAAGAGAGAGAATCACTCTCATATTTCTCTATTGTGAGCATTTGACCTGAAATGACATAGAAATAAACAACACGAAAAAATAACAAAAAACACAAAAATAATAATTAAAAATAGGCTGCCAAAGGTTGACTGGGACTAATAAAAGAAAGGATAAAACTAAAACAAGCAAACAAACAAAACAAACAAACAAACAAAAAAACCCAACGTGTAAAAATCCATGTTTTGGAGGAACTGGGCATTTATGAATAGGAGATGCTGCGATTCTGCGTCATCTCATTGGTCCATGTCACCGCAGTGTGCCTCCCCCAGGCCGCTGCATCAGGGAAGACTGGCCTCACCGCCGCTCTCTTTATCTCGGCTCGGTTCTACCCCGGACACGTCTTGACCGCCATACATAGCCCCTACACAGCTTTGTTTTCTGCGCAGCAGTGAAGTGGAGGAGAAGGGCTGTCATTCTGTGCTGCGGTTTCGTCCTCAAGGGGAGGAGCCAGTTGTTGATTCTGCGCTGCAAAAATAAGGCGCCGTACCGAGGTAAGATACCGTTTACGTAATAGAAATTATCGTGTCATTTTTCTGCTGCCTGGACAGACTTACAGATGCGGATTCGCACGGCTTTTTTTTTTATTTTTAAATTTTTATTTTTTGTATTGCTGTTCTTATTCGTGTCCATAAGGGATACAAGGAGGCGGAGATACTGTACAGGCGAACAAATAGCCTATTAAACATGCCACTCCCTGCAATAGCTTTCTGATCCTATGGACAAACCCCTCCTTAAACGACTAAAAATGATGTAGGAAAGTGTGTACATAACTTCTAAGTACGTGTGGAGGTTGCACAAGAAGCCTGTTTAATAGTCTGCATAATCTAATTTCCAGTTGCACTACTAATATAGGCTACAGCCTATAGGCCTGTGGTTGAGGGAGGTTTGGTTGCACAATAATTATTATACGCTACTACTGTTCACGGTGCTGAGTTCTAACATATGGATGAGGACTGAGGAGACACACAGCTTTTTCATGAAAGTCTTCAACAGCATAGGCTTTCAAACCCAATATCTTCTATTGATGTTCTTCAGCATCATTAAACAGATTATAGGCTATCAGAAATCGTTCAGATTCCAATGTCGAGCTCCACATGGTACAGAAATGGTATATTTTGGTCAGGGATGCCATGGGGCAGGAATATGTGTGGGCAGACTGAGGTCACTGTCATGCCTCTGAAAGCCGCATTGCTGATGTCAGCATCTGTCTAGTAGATGGATATTTAATAGGGTGTATCGTCAGGTTTACTGAGGTTGAACTCAAAGTCAAGCTAAAAACTAAGCTTTTTAATCCAACTCGTTAACAGGTGTCACATGGTCTGAAATGCATCTAAAGGGGCAGAAGAGGTCATATAGGTATGTAATTAATGTGAAATTAGAGTTAAGAATAACTAGCACATGCATTACATCACTTGCCAAAGACAAACAATTGACACTAACGGCATGAGCTCCCACATGAGTGAAGAAGTTACACAAGCAGGTTATCTATAACTGTTTGTTACAGTAATAGTTCAGGACTACCTTGAAGTGTTTGTGATGTGAGTCTGCATGTAAATAAAACAATGGTAGTACACCATTTTTAGAATAATCTGTACAAACTGCTTCACTATAACCAATGCTTTTAGTATTTTAAATGGGCAACCTAAAGGGCGGTCTGCAATGTGGCTCGATGGTTAGCACCGTCGCACCCGGGATCTTTCTGCGTGGAGTTTGCATGTTCTCCCTGTGCAGCATGGGTTCTCTCCGGGTTCTCTGGCTTCCTCCCACACAGTCCAAAAATGTTGAGGTTAATTGGTGATTCTAAATTGTCCGTAGGTGTGAATGTGAGTGTGCTTGGTTGTCTGTCTCTAAGTGTAGCCCTGTGATAGACTGGTGACCTGTCCAGGGTGTCCCCTGCCTTTGCCCTAAGTCAGCTGGGACAGGCTCCAGCCCCCCCGCGACCCTAGTGAAGATTAAGTGGTGTTTACATAATGGATGGATGGATCCTAAAGGGCTAGTCAAGCAATTTGTTATTGCACTTCCATGAAGTTGTGGGATTTACAAGAGACAGATTTAAAAACAAGAATGCTCAAAATTAAAAAAGCAAATGCTGGCTTTCATTTTATAATATCTGTCAAGACTTTGTGAGGTTCCTCCAAAACCACAGAAGACTGTGAATGAATTGACATATTTTATGTGTAAAATTTCTGGAATGCCACTTTTAAATGACTGTTTACGAACTTTTTGCCTATGTTACATTTTCAGTGAAACCATACTTGGGTATGTGCTGCTTTTGATGTCACGTTGAAATTGGTATGAATCAACATGCCTTTGTAGCATGCCTTTGGACCTTATGACTTCCAGTGATACAGGGTTTTTCCTGGCTCAGAATGGAGGTCTTTGGGGGATGAGTAAGCACAAAAGTAAGCCTGATTGGTCTGTGCACAGTAAAGGCAATTGCTCTAACTTACTGCATTTGACCAAAATCTATGCATTTTTCTGTTATTGGTGACTATTCTATTTACACGATGACTACTATGCTGTCCATAACAAAGCAGGTTACTTTTTCCCTCTATTTTTTAAATTCTCAATTGTTGTGCTACTAGTTGCCTGTGGTGCTGACTTAAACCTCTTTCGGAAAACCAAAAAATCCTTTATACAGGAAAAAACTCTGGGTGAGAGTCAACTGTTGGCTGAGGGATCAGTGTTCTTTGCCTGTTGGAAATAAATTGAAAAACGGGGCTTGCTGCTGTGAATTTAGACTGAGGTGAAGGCTGAAGCTGAAGCTTTTGTTTTTGTAGCTGATAGCACAGGAAAGAAGTGTCATTTCTTGGTATCACTTTCTTTGCTTGCCAAAAAGTTGTGATGAGCTTGAGCAGGTTACAAGGTGGCATCTTGTTAAAATTAACTTTGGCAGTGAATGCTCACCTTTGGTTAACTCATTCCTCCTACCTGCACACTACTGTTGAGACTTACTGAGATTTAGGATTTCTGGTATTATTTCTCAATTAGATCTCAATATATTTTTGACTGCAATAACAGTAATGTAGTACTACTATTTTAACCCCTATTGGACTCAGTTCAATGTGATTTCTTTCTTCCTTCTTCAGTTGTGTGGCTCCTTAACTCTCAGAAAGATTAGCCTTGGTGTTTACCAAAAATGTGCATTGGTGCTTGAAAGTTGGCGAACTCTTTCAAATGGCCTAAAGCATCATCAGAAGGCTTACCTAAGTAAGCGAATGAGACAAAAATGTTGCATTTGGAAATGTATTTACAGAGGAAAATAATCCAATATTACATATCTGTGTGTGGTCAGTGTTTCAACCTCTAGAATTAGAAGTTGATTTGAAGATGAAATTATTGTCAGGAGTTTTCAGTGGTGCTTTGTTTTATTTAAAGTGCATTGATTTCTCAGATTTATCAAAGTCTAAACTCCACATCTGTTAAGGTTAATTTATTGGAATGACCAAGTCAAAGTCTTGACCTTGATAGAAATATTTTGAAAGAGACTAAAGCCAGCAGTTTATGTGACAAAACCCAACAACAATTTAGAGTTGAAAGTACTCTGCACAGAGGGATGAACTGAAATTCCTCCAAGCTGAAGTGCATGACTGATCAACAGTTACGATAAACATTTAGCTGCAGTTATTGCACAAGGTGGTCACATCAGGTCCTACTAGATATGTGCTAGTGGGTCATTTTCCACAATGATCAAGTATGATATTTTTGTTTTATTTGTTTAACTGGGCTTTTAAGACTTCTGATGATGTTTCAGGTCATACTTAAACATCCATCCATTATCTATACACCGCTTAATCCTCACTAGGGTCGCGGGGGGGGCTGGAGCCCATCCCAGTCGACTTAGGGCGAAGGCAGGGGACACCAGTCTATCACAGGGCTACACTTAGAGACAGACAACCAAGCACACTCACATTCACACCTACGGACAATTTAGAATCACCAATTAACCTCAACATGTTTTTGGACTGTGTGGGAGGAAGCCGGGGAACCCGGAGAGAACCCACGCTGCACGGGGAGAACATGCAAACTCCACGCAGAAAGGACGCGAACCGGCAACCTTCATGCTGCGAGGTAACAGTGCTACCAACTGCGCCACCTTGCAGCGCCATACTTAAACAGAAATACAGAAAATTCTAAAGGGTTCACAAACTTTCGATCACAACTGTATAAGCAGTGGCGGCTAGTGCAGGGGCGCCGCCCCACGACCAATGACCAGATTAAAAAGTAGTTCTCAAACAAAATAATAATAAAATTAATAATAACGTTCATATTCTTTTGCCACATTACCAATATTTGTGTAATAAACAGATTTAAAATGAGTCTTTACTGTGTGTTTCCTAATTTTACACTTCCTGGATGCGGGGCGCCAGCCACATTAGTGTATGTAGCTTGAAAAACATTTCGTGATCATGTGACCTTGGCCCAGGCTCTGATTGGCAATTGCAGATTTTCTCATGGGGCGCAGCTCGGCGTGTCCCGGACCCTCCCACTTTTGCTTTAAGCCAGTTAAGTTTGTCTTTATTTGCTTTTGTCTTCTGTGGTTGGATATCAGAAGTGTCCCTTGATGTTCTTACGACTGCGCTTTCAGACACCGTCACACGACCTTTCCCCTCCTCTCTGACTAGATGACAGCGACTGTGGTGGTGGCTAAATGCATCGGCCATGCTATCAATGGAGAAAAGGCTGGTCACAGAGATGAGTGACTTCAACCGAAATGTAAAAGAGAATTTTGCAGAGCAGAAAGAGAGAAGAGCTAAATTTTTGTTCAAATAGAAGGGCTACCTTTGCGACCTTTTTTTTGTTTTTGAGAGTGTGTGAATTGATGAGCATGATGATCATTTAACTGTTATAGTGTCTCTGTAACTGACACAGGAAGCTGCTGTGTTAACCACAGTGGTGGAAAGTAGTACTTTTATAACTTCAGGATACTGCAGTATTTACGCTTAAAAATGAGGTCTTCTCGTGGAAAACGGAGCACACCTGCATTCGCTGTTTTTCCGCTCATAGAACAGACCGTGTGTTGAATACATGTAACTGGGTTTAACCTCGGACAAATCTGACATGAGAACGCCCTAGTTTATTATTTTTAAAGTCCATTTTTGTCACACACCTGTCAGAGCATATCACAGCCACCAAGCAGCATCTACCACAGCCTGCTATGTGGGATGTTCAGGGAGCATCAGTGAATCATAGCATCTATTGATAAGAAAATATTCAGCAAGTCACATTTAAACTTGATTTTGATACTGGGAAAAAGACTTGATACTCAATACCGATTTCGATACCACAGAGGAAAAAAAATCACCTTTTTATTAAACATTCTTGAGGTAGAATATAACGAATTACACTCCTTTTGTCAAGATGCTTCTGTAACAGTGCAAACGTAGAATTGTAAACAGTGGTCGTCTCCCATGAAGTTCACTTTGGCTCAAACAACGACAGATGGTGCGATCTGACACTGATGTAGCTTGACCTTGGAGTTCACCTTTAATGTCTTTAGAAGTTGTTCTGGGCTCTTTTGTTACCATTCGTATTATCTGTTTCTTGGATTTGTCATCAGTTTCCCTCCTCCAACCTCCAGGGAGGTTGGCTACAGTCCCATGGATGTTAAATTTCTGAACAATATGTGCAATATATGTTTCTTTCTAATTTCCTGAGACAACTCTCTCCTTTGCTTCCTCTGGTCCATGTTTAGTGTGGTACAGTGACTACTTGTAACCCTATAAATAGGCCGACTGACTGATTACAAGTTTGTAGACACCTGTGATGCTAATTAGAGGACACACCTTGATTGAACATGTCCCTATGGTCACATTATTTTCAGTCTTTTCTAGGGGTTCCATCATTTTTGTCCAGGCCTGTTTCACGAGTTTATTTTTAAAAATAATTCTGTTGAACCACGGTTCAAAAGCAATGTCTGATTTTCATTGGTTAACTTTCATAGAATTTTCATTTATTGTTACTTTTTTCAGATTCAAGTTATTTCTGTGACCATTGTGGGTTTTTCTTTCATTAACCAATGAAAGGGGTACCAACAATTTTGTCCATGAGTGTATGTCATCTCATAGCATTTCACATTGTAAGGGGAATTCCCCAACAAATCCAAGATATTAGTTTGGATTTTCTTTAGGCAAGAACGTGGTAACAGTGGAGAGGAACAAAAAAAAAAGTCCTTTACCAGGAAAGACAAAACCTCAGATGGAACCAGACTCAGAGAGGGTGGTTATGTGCGTCGACCAGTTGCGGTGAGGACGGAGGTGAGGGGGATAGCAGATGGAGAACAGACAAACAATACAAACAGAACACTGAACATTTTAAAGGCCGGTGAGGCCAGTGACTGCAGATTAGAGACGTGAAATTCCAGATCCAGAGACATCTGCAGAGAGAACAAACACAGGACCTCAGGGGAAACACAGAGTTTGTGACATTTAATGGTGGTATCTAACTGTGTGGAAGAAGAGAGGAGAAGAAGAGAGGAGCCCAGTGCATCATGGGAGTCTAAACCAATAGCAGCATCACTAAGGCATGACTCAGGTGCTCTGAGCAGAACTGACTATAAGTTTATCAAAGAGGAAGGTTTTATGGCTAAACTTAACAGTAGAGAGAGAAAAAATATATATATACAATGGAACTGAATTGAATGGGCTGCACGGTTGCTCAGTGGTGAGCACCGTCGCCTCACAGCTAGAAGATCCCCGGTTTACGTCCCAGTTAGGTTGCCTGGGATCTTTCTGTGTGTCCCCTGCCTTCACCCTGAGTCAGCTGGGATAGGCTCCAGCCCCCCCGAAGCCCTAGTGAGAACTGAATTGAATGAATTTGATTTGGTTTGGTTTTGGAATTCTCTGTCCTTGTATTTCACGATTTGTTTTGTTTTACTTTCTGCCCATGTGGTTTTGTTGTTTTCAACAGTGTGTTGTTGCTGTGGCTTTCCTTATGTATTGAGCTAGGAATGCTAATGATTAATCATTAATTGATTAATTGCGTTCTACTCTAGGGCAGATGGGTGATTCGGTGTCAAGTAACATTTGCTGTTGCAGAGTTGTAAATCATGGGGCAACTATGATATTATGATATATGCAAAACTGTGCACACTTACATATACAACATGATAGTTAAATTGATAGTCTCTGCTATCAATGTATTGTAATGTGTTCCCTCAGAGGAATCTCTTTAAATGTGTAAATTTTTAAAAGCTATTATTTTTTATGTTAGTTTTTAATTACGCATTGGTTGAAATAACTGGAATGACAATATTACCATTCTACTAAAAATGTATTTACCAATGCATCAAAGATGAATACAATTCGCTGGTTCTGGTTCTACGACTTAATCACAATATGCTTTTGTTTTCAAGGTAAAGGACTGCAAACACTCGACAGGAGGCCTTAAATGATGGGTAGTCAACCAATTCTGGACTAACTCACATCTAGCGTACTGCAGTGGAGCTGAAGGAAAAGAAGACTGAAGAGAGGCACAGTAAACCTGATAGTGATGTTTTCCACAGGCAGAGATTACCTACTCCCCACCGTCTCCTTCTCCATCTCTCCATCTCTCCCTCTTCTCCTCCCTCATACAGCCAAGTAGGCATCCAACTCCAAGAGTCTGAGCTGTGAGAGCGCATTGTGCTGATTTGCCCACAAACACACACGCACGCACGCACACACACCCACACACACACACACACACACACTCTCACACTCACACTGCGTCCTGCTCATGGTCGTTGGCTTGTCCTCCCCAGCTGCTGCTCCTGCTCTACTTATAGACCATGAAGAGGCCAAAGCAGCAGACAGGGCCCCTGAGCTTTCTAAACTTTTTCAGCCGAAAGCCCAAATCAGAACCAAGGTCCGAGAGGCCTGTGGAAGCGTGGCCCAAAGAGGAAGTAGCCATTACCCTGACTCCGAGCGAGCATCCAGAGCAGGTTAGACTGTAGCTTCCACTACCTATTTGTCTTGTCTTAGAGTGAGCAAAAGCAAGGAAATAAGGCCACGTTGTGTTGTTTCATTTCCTTGTTTTGGTCTCCTGAGTTTTGATTAAATGTTCAGATTTATATAAGTAATTTTGGTATTCATGTTTTCCAATTTCAACTTTATCTTTAAGCAGTACGTAGGTACATAAAGAGGATGTAGAAGACGTAGATCATTAACTTGGGATGTATCACCTTCTGTTTGCTTTCTCCACCTCATATACTGCTGCTGCCCAGATTCAGTTGTGTTAATTTGATTAACTGATAATTTCTAGAATTTATGTTGGGAGGAAACCCAATAAAGTACATCAAATGTGACCCACCTATGTACACACTCACTGATGCTACAAGCAATGAGAACCCTTCTTTCAAGTTTGCTGTCTCTGAACATCATCTTGAATACAAGGACATTTTTAAATCATATGGCTGGGTTTGGTCAGTAAACATGGTGTGTAAACTGTTCTCAGGATCTCAACTTCAGAGCAGAAGAGGTTGGAGACTTAAGAGTTTCTGGAGCAGAAAAAGGAGAAGGAGGAGGTCTGCCAGCAGCAGATGAGGTTGATGAGAATGGGGCTGCCACAGGCGAGTGCATGGGCAGCGGCTCCACTGGTGTCCTGTCCCTCTCTTCCTCCAGTCAAGAGCAGCTACTGGATGAACATCTGGAGGAGTGCCCACTGTGCCTGCTCAGTCAACCGCGGTGCCACTTCCCACGACTCACCTCCTGTTCCCATAGGTCATGCTCCGACTGCCTCCGTCAGTACTTGCGCATTGAGATATCTGAGAGCCGAGTAGGCATTGCTTGCCCACAGTGTTCTGAAACACTGGCACCACTGGATGTTCGTGCCATTCTGGATGACCAGGCACTGCTGGAGAGGTTCGAGGAGTACCAGTTGAGGCGTTTTCTGGCTTCTGATTCAGATACACGCTGGTGCCCTGCGCCTGACTGCAGGTGAGAATGGAGCCTGTACTACCACATGCCACCACTTAGATTTAGGTGCAAACCAGTTTTCCAAGAACACATTAGTATTCAAAAACATCTTTGAAAATTCAAATGTCTTTTGAGTAAATAACTAATTAACTGTCCACATGGACATAAAATAATTTATTTGGGAAGCATAACAATAATAAATAATGACTTGTCTGGATTGTCTAAAATTTCACAGACATCTTGAATATCTTGAAAAATATTAAAGACCGAATGCAACACTACATTATTACAGGTCCTGTCAAATCTGTGTCATTCCACCACCGGCGGTTTTGAATAAGAATCAGTGCAGAATTTTTCAGCAGAGACAATCTGCAATACAAGGGTTTCATGTCAAAATATATTTGTGCCTGTGCTAATGTAACACTAGCTTAAGATTCATGTCAGTTTGAGGTTGCACTTAGAGACAGACAACCAAGCACACTCACATTCACACTTAGGGATAATTTAGATTCACCAATTAACCTCAACATGTTTTTGGACTGTGTGGGAGGAAGCCGGAGAACCTGGAGAGAACCCACGCTGCACGGGAAGAACATGTAAACTCCACGCAGAAAGATCCCGGGTGTCCTCACTGGGATGCGAATCACAGAACATTGACAAAGCGAATAATAGGGCGATAACTATCGAACAAATACTTTTTTGAGATGAAGCCATATCAGACACAAAGCATTATTTCATGCAGATGGCTTTAGATGTCTTAAGCTTTGTAATTTATATGAATATGCATCATGAAGTGTTTTCTAAAAGACTTTGGTAAACTTTGAGCAATCTACAGTCTATTTTGTGTGCAAGAAATAAAATGTTCAGCACTGGTAATAAAATAAAATTTGACTAATGCATATAATGTCAGCAGTCTATGACATAACTACTATTTTTTAAACCTTCTTCAAATATTTTAACTTGAACAAATTAAAACAGGTGTTAAGGATCTAAATAATCCAATCGTTGCAATTTTCTGTGGCGATTTACTATGTTAAGCGCTGTGTGATGACATATGTTGTAAACTGCGCTATACAAATAAAATTGAATTTAAAAATTTAATTGAATTGAAAAGGTACTCATTGATGCCTGGAAATATTTAATACACAAGTACCCACCCCGTTGATCAAAGGTTGGTGACTTGAGAATCACACAGAGTCACTTCAAATTTGGTCTGATTCAAAAGTGGAATCAATGCAGGGGTGTGATTATCCTCTCTGTGTGTGGACCTCAGGATGTTTGATTCACCTACCCTTCAGACAAACCTGAAAACCACACATGGCTGAAAATGCAAGTGTAAAAACCTGACACAGCCTTTGAAGTAGCTCTTTGCAGGAGAGCTGGATTCTAGATGCCTGATGAATCACTCACATTTACTTTCACTTGTACTTGATGATTAATCACGTGATCTTTTATCATAAAAATTTTGTCAAAATAATAGTTGTATTCAAAGCACTGGTTTCCTGTTCATGCGAACTCGGCCACCAATAGCGACAGAGCTGCCATGCAGGCACTTGCCTGCTTTTGTCAGCAATTTCCGGTTCAGTGTCTTACCTACGGCACTTCAGCATGCCAGGAATCAAACCACCAACTTTGAGATTAGTGGACAACCTGCTCTACCACCTTTCCCACATATAATTAAGCAGATAGCACAGAGACAGTCCCACAGATAGCTGTGTCTCTCTATGAATGGTGATTCACTGAGCCACACAGTCAACAAATGTTCTGCTTCTGAGCAAAATCAACAATAAACTTTTCATTGTGCTTGACCTGGATGAACAGCAAACCAATACAGTCACATTAGGTAATAGAAGTGACAGCTTTCCATAGAAGTTCCAGTCAGTCAACCAAATCTATGGTATTTAAATAAAACTGGCTTCTGTGCATTTCAGTCCTTTAGAAATCATAGCCACAAGGAGAGGTGAGTAAGGAACTTGGATTTAAACCTCTATCAGTCAAGCTAATAATTTTGTCTGTTCTATCATTTTTATCTGTAGCTTCTCTCTGTATCTCTCTAGCTATGCAGTGATAGCTTACGGCTGTGCAGAGTGTCCCAAGCTGATCTGTGGCCGTAAAGGATGTGATACCGAGTTCTGCTACCACTGTCGGCAGCTGTGGCACCCCAACCAGACGTGTGACCAGGCCCGGCGTCTGCGAGCCCGCCACACCTCAGGTGGCAATGATGCCTCCATGCTATACATCTTCAATGAAGAACCTGGAGGAGGTAAGATTAGGAGCTATTGCTACCTTTGTAGCCAGTCTTTTAGCTTGAGCTGTGCGTCATGGAGTGTGGTCATGTGTGATGATTGCAGTCGTGACTCAATAATTCGACCCTTAACAATCCGAAAAGCTCGCTATCCGACAGGTTTTTAGGAAAAACAAACAGAACCCATGAAAAATAGCCTTAACATACCAACAGCCTTGAATTCCGACTCTGACGTGACATTTTATGTCACAAATAAGGATAACGACCCAAAAGTGTCCCTCATGTGCAGAAGAAGACACAATGACCTCACACGCAGTGAGCGTGCTCAGTGTTGACAGAAGTTAACATGGTGGTGCCACTGCCGCCGCTGCTGCCACTTGTGGTGGAAACAGAACAGAGACTGCTATCCTAAACTAGCACCAGCAGCAGCCTGCGCATTCCGGCCACTTCCACCCTGTTGGAGCACTCCCCCGGGGTGGAAGTGCCCCCCCAACCACGCCGAATATTGGGATATTCATCTTTAATTGGGCCTGAATATCCAAAGACCAGAAAGTGCTATTCAGATCAGCCCTATGAGTTATTATAACAACTATGAACAATAATTAACAACAAATTACCCTTCAAGCATCAAGCCCTCCTTGTATCTCGGCCTCCATCTTGACAATCCAACAGCCTTGCTATCTGACATAAAAGAAGGTTTTGCATTTAGTGTCGGATTATCGAGTCACGACTGTACATTAGTGCCAGAAATGAGGAAAGTCTTTTTAGAATACTCTGTCATTTATTTCTTTAATCTCCATCATTTTTTTTACAGGGACAGCAACTTCAAGCAAACCTAAACAATTTTGGAAATACACTTAACTTTCCATTTACTCTCTGGTGAAGAGTTAAACAAGAAGACTGATAACACTGTTACATCTCTCCATTGATATAAGGCTATAGCCAGCAGCTGTTTAGCTTACCATAGTAAATTGACTTGAATCACGAGGAACAGCTAGCTTGACTGTTTATCGGTAACAAACTTCTACAAGTATTGCTGAAGCTCAAAATTAGCACAAACTGCAGTAAAGTGAAATATTTATTGCAACATGTGGGTGTTTTTTTTTTTTTTTTTTTTACTTATTTACACTGTTGCAGAAGCAGAAGAAATCAAAGCATGCCCTCGCTGTGGTGCTTATATCATGAAGACCAATGATGGCAGCTGTAACCGTATGAATTGCACAGTATGTGCCTGTCAGTTCTGCTGGCTTTGTATGCAGGAGATCACGGACGTGCACTACCTCAGGTATCCTTTTCACCCTCACTACACAAGCATACCACTCTAAAGCTGTTACAAACCTCAACAGGCATTAACAAAATGTAACAATTACTACATCTTTTGAGGTATTTATCTGGAAAAATGTTGAATAGTCGTTGGTGCTGTCAACCAAGCCTTCCAGTACAGGATAACATTAAAGTGGGAATATTTGCTTGCTTGAGTGAATACCAGAACAAAATTCTAATTACAAAATAAAGGCTCAAGCAGAGGAGATTTGTCCAGCTGCCAGCTGTCCCATTCTCAAAGCTACCTCACTACCTTTCCACACACTCTCTTATTGGCCAACCAAACGAATACTTAATAAAAACATTTTGATTCATGATACCATCCGTCTGTATGTAACAACTAGTATAGTTGCTGGACATTATTTGAGCTGCAAAGTTAATTTCAGAGTCTTCATCAACTGACAAGATAATTTGTCTATGGACCTGGCCTGGTCACATACTTTTACATCACTTCATACGAAATACAATAAAGCTAGAAACCTTTACTTTTTTCTTTTCTTTTCTTTTTGGTTTTTGCCTTTATTTATCAGAGCAGTGGAGAGAGACAGGAAAGCAGGGAGAAGTGTGTGAAAAGAACTGTAGCAAATGGCCGTTGTTGGGACTCGATCCCACTATTGCTGCGTCAGAGACTATAGCTCCTGTTTGTGGGTCGCCATCTTATCTGGTTGAGCTACCAGAGCGCCCCAAAACCTTTACTTTAAATGCAGATAATGTGCCTGATTTAATACTTGTAGAAGCTAACAGCAATAAGCAGTAAAACTTGACTCAATGACTGTAATCAATGATCAGATTATCCCTTCCCTATTTTGCCTATTGTCCCTTTTCTAATCACAACATTTTTGAAAGTTATGAGGTGTGGCGATCAAAGAGTCAAAGATTCACTCAGTTCTTGCAGATGTTCTATTAATTCAAAACGAATCTTCAACTGCTGTTGCAGTCACAGTTTTGAAATCTCCTAGCCTCTTGCCTCAATTTGGCAGCCCAACCAAGCTGTAGCCACCAGTCAATCTTCTTTGCAGTTGAGTAGTACTAAGAGTCTTCTTTCTTAAGAGTGTACATTCAAAGTGACGCAGTATCCTTCGGCGGTGGAGTGCCAGGAGTGCCAGTATGATGCTAGTATTTCACCATGGATTGAGAAAATGGCTGCAGATTTCTTCATTTTTTTATATCAAGCAGTTATTCAGAAACATTAATGACTCTGTAACTGATAATGAAAATACGTATTGTGCTAAAATGAAAAGTTTTGGTTTTTGGGGCCAATACAGTAAAATTACAAGTCCCAGAGCAGCATATGTCATTGTAGGCTCATAGCAGCATGAAGTTAAATAATGCTTAATAGCTCAAATCCAGCTCTCTAAAATACTTACATCTATCCTAGAGACCTTATACTTCATAACTAGCCTCACTATGAACACCTGCATTTACGCCACTATTGTCTGTAAGGCAAGACTTAGTTCGAGGTAAAAACTGAGTCACTCAGCAAGGCACATACAGTCAAAGCCAGAAGTTCACATATACTATATAAAAGAAACATAACCTTTTTTTCTTGCTGTCTGACGTTAAATATGACTAAATTTTTACAGTTTTAAGTCAGTTAGGATTACCAAAATTATTTCTATTTGTTAAATGCCAGAATAATGAAAGAGAGATTTTTTTTAGAGATTGTTTTTATTACTTTCTTCAAAGTCAGAAGTTTCCATACATTTCCTTAGTATTTGGTAGCATTGCCTTTAAACTGTATGACTTGGGTCAAATGTTTTGGATATTCAAATGGGACTATGGGACTGAGATCAGGGCTTTGTGATGGCCACTCCAAAACATTGACTTTTTGTCCTTAATGCACTTTGTAGCTAATTTGGCGGTATGTTTAGGATCATTGTCCATTTGAAAGACCCATTTGCGACCAAGCTTTAACTTCCTGGCTGATGTCTTCAGATGCTGCTTCAATATTTCCACATAATGTTGTTTTCTCATGAAGCCATCTATTTTGTCAAGTGCACCAGTCCGTCATTTAATACCAGGGCTCAGTATCCATTTCTATATTTAGGCATAAAGAAAAGCACTTGTTCTATACACATTCATCTTACAAATGAGTACTTTTACTTATCCCTATGTGCAAGGTATATTGGCTTCCTGCACTGTCTCTCCTCCTTCCCCTCTCACCTTCACTAATTTCCTCTCCTTTCAACCTTGTCTATCTCCTGTATTACAAGTTGCAGTGAACATCTGAAAGAGCAGCAGAGCTTTTAGCATCTCACGGCAAATCTGTCAGTTCAGAGCAGCAGAGCACAACCATAATGTGATAATTTACCTTTAAGAACCTCAACGTGATGTTTGGTGCTCTATAAAAATTTTTTTTAGCAAAAGTAGCATAGCCCTTAGGTGCTATTTGTTTCTTACATTGTCACTTCTGCTGATACACATTATTTGTTGCTTAAATAAGAAAAACAACATTAGTCAGTTGTACTACTCTTCAAGGCAGTTAGAATTACACCACATCACCAAGGGCTGTTACCAAATACGCACCTACAGGGACATTTACTTGGTACTCACAATCATATTATGTACCAGAATGTTGACCCCTCATACACAAACTTCGTTAACCCAACTTTCCCATTTCTCTGTAAGCAATATCTAAGATTAATAGATATGTAAACAAATGCATTCAAATAATGAAAGGATGCAATGATGGGAATGAGACAGCTCACTGCTCATAATCATTCAGAAGTTTGTTGTGCCATATTTGGTTGAGGCTGGGAGTCTGTGTCATTACCTACATTTAGTTCAAAGGAGAAAAAAAACTTCCCTTTAACAGCAAAAAAATGTAAATGTGTCAGTGTGACTATGTACATACTGTTGTGTATGTTTTAGATTGTATCAGACAAAGAACAGAAACACCACAAACACAAAACAGAAGTGATTGTGATGGGAATTTCATGAGCTTTAGGGATTGTACCCAACAAATTACCTTTTTTTGCCCTTAAAATGACACTAGGTATAAAGTCAAGGGAAAACCAAAATGAGCAGAATTTTTCCTCTTGGGGCCATTAATGTCTTTGCAAAATTTTATGGAAATCCATCTAATAAGGTTAAATATTTTTTTTCTGGATCAAAGCAGTCAACTTACTGTTTGACTGACAGTGCCATCCATAAAGCCATGCTAATGTGACTAATACAATGTTTTATGGTGGAACGTTTTTTTTTTTTTCAGAACTCTGGGAATTCCTATAGTTTAAACCCTTAACAATCTCTTGTCTGTGCTTCAGTCCCTCAGGATGTACATTCTGGGGGAAAAAGCCATGGTCTCAAACCCGCAAGGTACTATGGCAGGTGGGCATGTTGCTTGGAGCACCTGTGGTCATCTCCCTTATAGCGGGCATCGCCATCCCAGTCATCATTGTAGGCATACCAATATACATGGGCCGCAAGGTCAGTACGACAGCCTGTCAGTTAAGCCTGTGTGATATTATGTAATTAATTAGAATTGTGTCATTTTAAGTTTGTGCATTACATTAAGAAACAGACTAATTTTCATATTGCTTCCACATTGGCATGTACTGTTCATAGTAAACAAATAAACTAATCAAAGTAAACTAATAAAGTAAATGCTATGCAGATGTTTGCGTACCTTCGTGTATATAATTCTGGCATTCTCCTTAAGAAATAAGAAGCTAAGAATATTTTGTTAGTTGATGATTGAATGCATGTAAGGTTAGATGGATGATCTATGTGGGTTTTTCACATTATTAGAAACTAATAATGCATCTCGGGGAAACAAATCTGCAAGTAAAATGCCATTAGATGTGAATAGTTTTGTTTTAAAACACTGTGATAGCTTCACATGCAGTTGGCCTTTGCCCTTACGCATGCTGGAATAAATGTGTTGTTGAACATAAATAAATGGTTTTAGAGGTGGAGAACAAGAAACAAATAAAATTTCCACTATGTCATTTATGTACTATTTGTTACCTTCCAGGTCCATGGTCGTTGTAAGAAAACCAATATCTCAGGAAGTAAACACTACTTGACTGTGGCAAGTGGGGTGATGATGTCAGTGTTTGTATCGCCGGTCATAGCAGCTGTGACTGTGGGTAAGAAACAAACAACAACATGATACGTTCTTTCCAGCAAATCAAGAAATAATTGCTTTGTTTTTGCTGATTTAGTATTCTACATACAGTCATGAACAAAAACAAGAGTTTCCAATGACTCCTGTAACTCTACATTTTCTGATGGAATCATTGAAACATGGGTCTTTGTCACAAGAAAGCAAGCATTGCATTCAGGTTATTTCATAGATTTAGTATGGATCTTCTGAAAATATGAGAAAATCTGCTTGGCCAAAAATATACATACATTGTTGCCTTGCAGCAAAAAGCATGCCGGTTCGCGTCCCGGTGAGGACACCCGGGATCTTTCTGCGTGGAATTTCCATGTTCTCCTAGTGCAGCGTGGGTCCTCTCCGGGTTCTCTGACTTCCTCCCACACAGTTCAAAAACATGTTGAGGTTAATTGGTGATTCTAAAATTGTCCGTAGGTGTGAATGTGAGTGTGCTTGGTTGTCTGTCTCTAAGTGTGGCCCTGTGATAGACGGGCGACCTGTCCAGGGTGGCCCCTGCCTTCACCCTAAGTCAGCTGGGATAGGCTCAAGGTGGTGTGGTTGTATCTTTGACTGCTCCTCTTAACTGAATTGGTACAGTAAAACTAAATTTGTTGGCTTTCTGGGACAGATTTTCTTCATCACAGTCCACAGGTTCTTCATTACAGGTTCTTCTTGTTTAAGTCAGGACTTTGGGGAGGTTAGTTTAAACTTTTAATGTGTGTTTGGGGTTGATGTCTTGTTGGAACACCCAGCTTTATCCAAGACCCAACCTTTTGGCTAATGAATTTAGGATTTCTTGAAGAATGTGGAGGTAATCCTTTTTCTTTATTATTCCAATCACTTTGTGTAAAGCACCAGTTCCACAATGATACCCATCATAGAAAATTCAGAGTTGGAAACTCAAGACTGCCATGATATACATGCTTTGTACAAGTACATGTGAACTTTTGGTCACAACTGTAATTATTCACACTTATTTTTATGAAAGGAGAGAAAAACCTCACAATGTCCAAATGAGTTAGGAAAGACAAAAAAGAGCTCTCATATGCTAAACATGCTAATTTGACTAAAATGCAGTCATCAAAGGCAGTATTCAGAAACTTATTTTTGGAAAACAAAATAAAAAAATCAATCAATCCATTTGGATTTGACACTGGCAGCTACCTGTGAGGTGTCTGGAATAATCCCTTACGTTGTATACAGAGTAAAGACTGTAAGATCAAGATAAGAGAGATCATCTTAATGTTTTCACAAACTACATGCACAATTTCAAGCCTAAATTAAAGACATAGTTTAGCATTTCATCAAATACTCCTATTCACTTTTTTGGTGCATGGTTAGATAAGGAAAGCTAATACTAATCTAATGTTTGTGTGTTAAATTTGATGTTACCACAAGACTGACTAGCCTTACAGCACCTCTACAACGTATTCATTAATAATTTATCGCTTTTGTTTAATCTGTTAAAAAAACAATACAAATTTTACCCTATACATCTACAGCATGATATTTTTATCTCTATGAGCTTCTACATACTGGAGTGTTAACCATAACAGAAACATAAAAATGATTTTGGTAATTACCAATGCTGTCAATTTAGGGCAGCTGTGGCATAAACCTTACAGTGGATGGTGGTCTAATACATTTGTTAAGCACTGTATATCTCGACAAAAAAGTGAGGAGGTTGTTTTCCAGCATGTCAAACTATTCCTTTAATAAGTCATGAGTTATACATATCCGAATATACATCAAGATATGATCTCCATAAACCTGAATGTTATGTAGAGCATACCTTGCACATCAAGAAGTGTACAGCCATATGACTACTCACAACATAGGTTTCTGCACACAGACATTCAATTTAAAGTCATCACTTCCTATTCCCATTGTGAGTAATATCCATGCCTTACAGAATTTCTTAAGACTTAAGCTTTCCTCTACAGCGTCATGGCCATCTCTGCATCACACACTGATGGGTCCTCCCTTGGCACACACTCAATCAAACCCAAATGTAGTCACACTGGACTCTCCCTCACCTCCAACCGCTGCATATACCATGTGTTTGCATCTCTGTCTCTGTGTCATTTCATTAATCACTTTGGCTTCAATTACTCTCTGCCATATGTTTAATCATACCTCTTCTACTTTATGCTCTCACTGCTCTACAATTGTTTTTTGCATTCATTCCTCTCTCTGTGCAGAGTGTTTGGCTGGCAGGCTCATTCTCTCACCCTGGTTTCACCCTGTTGCTGAGTAGATAGTGTCCTAGTGTTTCCACTGCGTTAATGATGTCTGCCTCCCTTTGTTTGGTTGGCATTGTGCTTTGTGGTCCCACATTCCTACCACAGTCACATATTACACAAACACACAGCATAGTAAGATGCCAAGAAAAGCATTATCAATCAGTATCTACATGAAACTTTACTGTCTCTCTGATACAGCGTGAAGTAGGAGAGGCTCCCTCTTGTGTTTGTTTTGTGTTATTGCGATATACAGCCATGACTCTATAATCCGACACTAAATGTAAAACCTTCTTTTGTATTGGACAACAAGGCTGTCGGATTGTCAAGATGGAGGTCGAGATACAAGGAGGGCTTGATGCTTGAAGGGTAATTTGTTGTTCATTGTTGTTCATAGTTGTTATAATAACAAATAGGACTGGCAGTACTTGGCTGCTGGTGCTGGTTTAGGATAGCGTTCCCCGTTCTGTTTCCACCATCGTTGGCAGCAGTGGTGGCACCACCATGTGTTTTCACTTTCGTAAACACTGAGCACGCTCACTGCGTGTGACGTCATCGTGCCCTCTTCTGTGCGTGCGGGACACTTCTGGGTCGTATGAAGTTCACACAGCAGATCACATACAAGTCATAAAAAATATCAGAATTGAGCATTAAGTCCTGCAGTAGCCAATCTGTTGGATTGGTAAGTCAGAAAATATGGCGTTATCCTTATTTGTGACATAAAATGTCATGTTGGAGTTGGAATCCAAGGCTGTCGGTATGTTAAGGCTATTTTTCATGGGTTGAGTTTGTTATTCATAAAAAACCTTTCGGATAGCAAGGTTTTTGGATTGTTCAGGGTTCGATTATTGAGTCATGACTGTATAATGGAAATTGAAAAAGTCTTTAAAAGGGAATGTATTAGTCGCTGTAAGTGCTGCTCAGCATGTGTAATCAGTTTTGTAATAATTTGAGGACGTGAAGAAGGAAGAAAATTACTGAAACTAAAAGACAGAAAGAAAGACAAAAATGTGCAGTGTGGAGTATGAAAGACACAAGGATTATCGGGCATGACGAATCAAAAGGTGGTATCCAGTTACACTATGGGAAGTGTAGGATCCGGTATTAGGGTTAAGATAAACCCATACAACTGAGAATTTTGGCCTATTTACACCACAAGTTTTTACGTTTGAAAAAAAAAAATCCTCAAATTAATTAAGGCCCAATGTTTAATTGCTGCAAAGGCTTTTAAATAATATTTTAAAGAAAAAGTTTTTGGCTTCGCGTCCCGGTGGGGGCACCGGAATCATTCTGCGTGGAGTTTGCATGTTCTCCCCGTGCAGCGTGGGTTCTCTCCGGGTTCTCCGGCTTCCTCCCACACAGTCCAAAAACATGTTGAGGTTAATTGGTGATTCTAAATTGTCTGTAGGTGTGAATGTGAGTGTGCTTGGTTGTCTGTCTCTAAGTGTAGCCCTGTGACAGACTGGTGACCTGTCCAGGGTGTCCCCTGCCTTCGCCCTAAGTTGGCTGGGATAGGCTCCAGCCCCCCCGCGACCCTAGTGAGGATTAAGCGGTGTATAGAAATGAAAAGTTTTTGGCCAAACTAGGCAAATAATGGCAAATATTTTATGAATGAGGTCCTCATACTTCTCTGTTTTCTTTTAGGTGTGGGTGTGCCTCTAATGCTGACTTACGTCTATGGGGTTGTCCCCATGTCACTGTGTAGGAACGGCTGGTGTCGACCGCAGAGTGAGCCCCCTGAAACACACAAAATCCAACTGGAAGACTTAGCCAGCTGTGAGTACAAAATTAAATCACTCTGTAATGTAAGTAAAGCCTTGGTCACAACCAGCTGTACGGGCTCCTACGGCCTGTCTGCGTCCAAATTACGCGCAGAATGGCTCGTGCCACGCAAGTCCATCTTGCAAAATTTTGAGGTTGCAGACAGTCTGCAAACACGTGTGAAGGATTTCTGACATGTCAAAAAAATGTTACGAATTCTCTGCGAACAGCAATGCTGCAGGTGTAACTTGCTCCCCAAGAAGTTTGCGAGCAATTTTACCGTGGGAAGAAAATCCGTGGTCTAAGAGGGACGTCTCACACACAATGTGGGAACAAGTGCCCCTTGTGTGTTATGTATGATGCACACACTCACAACTCATGAACAAAATCGAACGCATGGCGGGTGCGCATTACCCCTCGCCTGGAGTATAGTCGACATGCTCAGAGTGCCCACTCACGTTTTGCCAGTGATCGCTGATTATATTATTGCTTCAAACAAATAATGGATATACCATATTATAATCAGCTTTGTATTGCTTTAAGTAAATCTACCTTTGCAAACTAGAGTTCATTTTAATGTCTGAAGCAGCATTTTCTACAAATCCATATGAAAAGTCACTTTTGCTCTGACTTCATTGTTTCTGAGCTTAAGGTCCTCTTGTTATCACTTAAGAGTTATTTAAGTTACTGACTGTCCAGCCTGATAAACAGAGAGCTGAGCAGACTGACAGGAGCTGGAGACACACACACACACACACATACACATACACACACAGCGCGACTCTTGGCTTTATCGCTGATGCACAGATCTCACACTAATTGGGACATAACATTAATGTTTTTAAGAGGTAATCATTAGCGAATATGTGTAAAAAGATACATTTATGAAAATATGTGTTTACAGCTAGTACGTGTCTCTGTTGGAGGAGCGGGTCGGTCACTGGAGATGCTGCTGGCCAGTATCAGCTGGAAGTCAGTACTGGGGTGACAGGCGACCTGTCACCGCCAAGTTGTCAGGTTCTGTGTGTGTACTACACAAAGCATTAAATCATATTTATTTTCATCACCATTTGTTATATAGTTTTAACTTTTGTCCTGAAATCAATTTGTATCATCCCAGATCTATTTTTTGTTGCCCCGGGATGATGAGACGTCCTGAAGCTCAAACCCTGTCAGTATGTTAACAGAATTTATAAGACAGCCTATTGTCTGATCGCCGAAGTGTCTCTGTTTTGTTTTTTGTTTTTGCTTTGTTTGTAATGTAATGCACACCGTCAATACGTCATCACAAGCGCGTGTGGCAAGTGTGACTTACTTTTGCTGTGCACTCCATTCTCTTTATAAGTGGTGAGTGTGTGCCATGTACGCAGGTGGCAAGACAAACTCAATAAGTGAGCACAATTTCCACAGACATCTCACGTCACCCCTGACAGGGCAGACTTGTGCCTTTCTGGACGGACCCTTGCAACCTTTCCTCTACCTCTACGACCTCCATGGCCTTCACGGCACTCAAAATTTGCAGAGGACCTACGATCCCAAAAGATGTGCATCCAGTTGTGACTGAGGCTTAGGGATATCATTTAACTCTAAGATAATTTACATTAGTAATTGATTGTGACTTTTCCTCCAGATTTTGGCCTGATCTGATAAAGTTTCAACTTCTCTATTAGATCTTCTATTCTCTCATGTAGTCAGTGATCACTGGATGGGTCAGAACAACCCAACACTCAGCGATACCAGTGTCCAGGAAGTCAGAGTCAGTGTACAGGATGTGGGTGTCCTCCCAAGTACAAGCACCACACCCCCGGAGCAAGATAGATATGTTGGACTGGATGAAGCCACAAAACGCCATGGATACACTCAGCAGGACAGCCAGTCTGACTGTGAGGTGGTTAGTGTGCCTGACAGTAAGCTTGATGACACACAAGCGCTTACTTTAAGGTAAATGTTGCCTCTAGATTGCTCTTTTTCTTTTAAAAATCGTACTTTGCTAAGGATTGTTATATATTTTTACAAACATTTTTTTTCTGATGTAATAACTGTATTTATTGGTATTTATTAGTCCTGCTGTTACAATTACAGAATTATCAAAAGTTTGTAACTCACTGATAAAATCTGCATCGTCTAATGATATTGCACCTATACAATTCTATGCTCTAAGATTTTAGGTACTTAAAGTAAAATAAGGATGCTTACAAAAAATGAAGACATCAGTTATTTTCATTGATCCATTTAAGATATTCTCAGAAGTTTTCTTGTAAGTAGCTTAAGTACACTTTCAGTGTTCTGCACCAAAATGCATTGAGATCCAACAAATGCAATGAATGCACTTCCTTTCTCATAAAACACTTGCCAAACCAATGTTTCTTAAAAGTCTCTTGGAAGTGAAGCTCACATTGTTCCCATTTATGTTTACTGGCACGCAGTCTTATTCTGCAGTCTTTGCTGGTGCTGCATTCCTTGGTGCGTTACTGCTACCTGATTGCTAGGATTGTGTTTTGCGGCATCCATCGTGCACATAAAACAAACAACAAGGGTAACCATTCAGTAATATTAGAGTTAAGAAACTCCACAGGGTAAATTGAAGTCTATGCAAAGTGTGGTAAATTAAAAACTAAATGTCAGTGTTTGGTGTATCAGTATTTGTCTTTAAAACAGTTCAAGTACTGTTTAGGGCCCTTACAGTTTTCCAAGGTACCTCACAGGTTGATTGTTCTAAACATCTTTGAAAACTTACCTGATTTGGTCTCATTCACTTCTTTCTTTTGTATATGTTATCCCAGGCTTACGAAATGGTATTGAGATCAGTGTTCTGTGGAGGCTATATCATTTGTTGTGGGACTCCTTAATCTTCTTGTCACGAAAGATAATTCTTTATAATTCAAGATGTATGTTTCAGATTATGGTTTTCTGCTGTAGAATTAATTTTGGATTGATGAGCCACCTCCCTGATTAATACAGTCAGGTATGATGGATATGAATGTTTTGCACAGTACTGTTTATTGATACTAATATGTCTATTGCAAACACAGGGAAAGAACCAATATCCACAAGGATGGAACCAATATTGAGGTTCGTGTGGAAATTGAGACCCATCCCAGAGGTGCACGCCAGTCCAGCCTAAGTAGCATTCTGTCTAGCCGAAGCTTGTCATTGGAGTCAATGGGACACTCACAGTCCCAATCCCAAGACTACTCGTGTGCCTCTGAACTAGAAGAAAGACGAGAGCAGGGAGGAAGAGAAGGAGAGGAGCAGGAGGGAAGAGTGAAACCAGGAGGGGAAGCAGGAGACAAAGGGACAATTTTCCCAGTCTTTCAAACAGATGGTGTATGAGATCATTACATACAGGTTTTGTATTTGGTTGAAGATTTAGTCAGGTATTATGGAAATATACCAATCCATGAGCTGACATGACACTGGACTGACCTGAGAATTGTTGGCCAACGTCACCTCCTCTTTCCAAGACAGTTCCTCCCACCAGATGCCTTCTAGCTCCACCGTCTAAGGAAGATGTGGGTTTAGAGAGAGCAAATGTAAAAGATGAGTGTGTATGAGTATGTGTGATGAGACTAATAGCATGAGAATGACAAAAACTGGATAGCTATAAGGCAGACAGGAGAGCATGTTTCCCAACTAGTTTGGTACATTTTTCTGTTATACTTCCTGAAAGAAACTACCTTTCTTTCCCTCTATTATAAATCTATTTCCTGAAGTCCTTTCTTCATCTGGCTGTTCTTTCAGTGACTTCACATCACTCTTCCCTCAACTTTTACAAAAAAAGAGACCATCACAAGCATGATATCTTTAATGGGGGACTAAGAATCTAACAAATGTCTTGTCTGTGACTAAATATAAAACACACCCATGCCATGCTACAACAGAATTTCTTTTTTTTTTTTTTTTAATCTGAACAAATATGTCCAATATTCACACACCTGAATTGGGCTGCTTTAAACAAGTGATGCATTCTACGCTGTTTGATTATTCTTTTTGAACGAAGTCCAATGGAAAATCCCAATCAAACTTGTTTATGCCTGTAACTGTTGTTCTCTATTAGAGAAGGTGCTCTGTGATAGTGTGACAGTGATTGTTTGAACTGACTAGAGGGCTTTTAAACTCCATGAATTATAACTTAATCAACGATCCACAGTCTTCCATAAAAGCAGGTGGTTAAAGTCTCATTTTTTTACTTGTTTTAGTGCAGCTTTTACCCTTCACTACACTATTTCCTTTTAAAATGAAGAGGGAGATTTAGCTTTAGTTTGTAAAAATGTTCAGTCTAATGCAGGACAATATGGCAGCAACACAACAGTCTTTTTCTGAGGGGTCTTAAATTTGAAAAGCTGCATGATTCTACTAGTCGCTGTGTATCCAGAATAATCTATGAACACAAGAAGATTTGCACATACACACTCACATGTTCAACAGCAGTTAGTGTAGCTGCAGTAGTGTGCACTGCTGACAGCATTAAATATAAAATAAAGACCCTCTCGAATAACCACAGAGCACCAAAATTACAACAGCAGCATGCCATTGCTGGCTAAACTGTAATAACCCCTTCTAGGTGATTTGTAAGAAATACATGACTATACAGTATGGCGCTGCTTTGTTTCCTGAGTGTGAAATACTTGTGAGATGAACTTGGACTCGACATGATACCCTGTGCTGGGTTGTGGAGAAAAACTGAATAAAGATTTCACCATGACGGACAAAAAAAAAACAAAATCCCTGTTTTCTATGTCTCAGAAATATTTTTTCTTTGATGGTGTTATTGGGAGACCAAATAAAAAAAACTAAACAAAAAAAACAAAACAAGGAGATCATTACCAGTGTCGGGCCCTGGACATTCACTATCTATTTCTATTAAAAAGATGAAAATAGGAGAACTAGGAAGAGCATAACAAAAGCACCCAGTCAAAAGTGAGGTGGGGATGTTAAGGTATATCTTGACATCTCAAGCCAGGGCTTTCTAACCTTTTTGACCTCTTTGAGCACCTAAACTGAACCAATGTCTTCTTGCAATCCAGTGCAACTGAGCACAAATCAGTTACAAGTAATTACATATGTTATGCTTGTTTGAACTCTTGTTGGGGCTACAAGATGCACATTTGTATTACACCGCCAGGTCATCCTGTCTGTAATAAGTGATTTGAACATTTACAGTTTATTTAGTTTAAATGTAATTACTGCCACACAACCTCCTCAAATGTTACGTGCAGTAAGTGCAGATGGGGGCTGCAAGGTGTTAGCACTGTTGCCTCGCAGCAAAAAAGTTGCCGGTTCGCGTCCCGGTGGGGGCACTGGAATCTTTCTGCGTGGAGTCTCCATGTTCTCCCCGTGCAGTGTGGGTTCTCTCCGGGTTCTCCGGCTTCCTCCCACGCAGTCCAAAAACATGTTGAGGTTAATTGGTGATTCTAAATTGTCTGTAGGTGTGAATGTGAGTGTGCTTGGTTGTCTGTCTCTAAGTGTAGCCCTGTGATAGACTGGTGACCTGTCCAGGGTGTCCCCTGCCTTCGCCCTGAGTCAGCTGGGATAGGCTCCAGCCCCCCCGCGACCCTTGTGAGGATTAAGCGGTGTATAGATAATGGATGGATGGATGTGCAGATGGGTCAAAACAATATGGCAAGATCAAGTTACAATCAATAGAGGGCGCCAGCACACAGACATTAGAATGCAAATATGTTCCTTTAAACGTTTGCAATGTGACTGAGTTGCTCCATGATTGTTTGTGAAAACTGTTTTTAGCACAAAACTTATTGTTTACTGAAATCTATCTTCAATTACAACTGGAGCGTGTTGTTTCAGGTTCAGGCCAAAATGTAAAAGAAATAAAGGTAAGCTTTATTTTGGAAAAAGTAACTTGGCAGCAAAACAAACAGAATAGACAAGAAATCTCCGAGACTATAAAAATGTAAGCTTGTTTGGCACAGTGTAATTCGTCAACACTGCAATCATACTGTAATGATTTCTCCTTAAGTCGCTTCTTCAAACCGGAGCGCTTGGAGGGAGCTCCACACAAGGACACGCCCTTAACTCTGACTACGGTGCAGTGGATGCGTGTATTTGCCCTCGGCTGCTCACGTCCTTCTGGGGGAAAGAAAACAGAAAGAGACTGGGCTGGAAGTTGAGTCAATGTTCTCTCTCCTCGCCCTTGTATCTGTGGCGAATCTGCTGTCGTGCGCTGACTGGTGTATTTACGAGACGAGGATCCCACCTGCCGGAGAGCAGACACCGCGGGATGGACGCCCTGAAATCCGCCGGCAGAGCGATTATCAAGAGCCCCGGAGTTCCACGGCACACATGGGGAACTTCAAAGCATGAAAGTGAGTGAGCCTCAAATGTTTAGAAATGGTTGCGATGTTGCAAATGATTTTGCGATGTAGCACCGGTAGTGTTAGCCTCAGAGGGGAGGTGAAGGGAGGCGATGTGTGCCGCTGGCTTTTCGCAGCAAGCTAGTGGAGTGTTGTCTCTTATTTTTGTAGGGCTGGATGCATGGCGTGAAAACAGCAAAAGAATCACATGCCGCTTCGTTATGTTAAGTCCCAGTACTACTTTTACTTCTTTGTGAGTGACATGACTATTGCTGCCGGTTGTTCCTCACCACGACAACTGTAGCATACATTTAAACTAGATCAAGGCTGCAGGTAGCGATGATCGGGGGTTGGCGCAGCTGTGCACGTTCGTGACCAGCGTCCACCTCCACCTGCAGCTCCACACCGCCACGGAGCCGCCCACACCTCAGCCACCTCCCACACCTCAGCCACCTCCCGCACCTCAGCCACCTCAGCCACCTCACACACCTCAGCCACCTCCCACACCTCAGCCACCTCCCACACCTCAACCACCTCAGCCACCTCCCACACCTCAGCCACCTCCCACACCTCAGCCACCTCACCCGTCAGGAAGTGCGTTGGACTGGCTCCAAGTGCTCCAAATAGTAGAAATCCCAGTGGGGCAACACTTTACGATTAATTGTACGTTTAGGGCGTTTAATTATACATTTTGCTTTCTTCAGGGCCACTACACCTATGAGATAACATTTAAAATTCATCTTCATGCCATTAAAGGATGTTAATCCTTAGGCCTCAATTGAAAACAGTTACACTGATGTCCTAAGGACAAAAATATCCCCATTGAAACCAATGCTAACTATTATTTTTGATCCCTCCGCTATTATATCATGAAATTAAGTAATCTATGTTATAGGCTTTCATTCTGGAGCTTTGGCTTCCAAATTGTCATTTTTACTGTTTTGCACTAGATTTTGTTTGTTTTTTTTTATTTGGCTTATGTAGCGAATACAGGCTTTATTTGTTTTGTTGCATCCTGCTGTATTATAGAGCTCTGCAGGCCAATGGTAAAAAGTTTACAACTAAAAGTTTTGGGGGTGTTGGTAGGGATGTCCCATTGTTGTGTGTATTGAAAATTTTGTGTGCGTCTGTTTATGTGTTTGTGTACATTTGGAGATATAGAAGTTCTAATGGACTGCAGACCACAAATTCCACCCTACTGTCTCTTGTCCTGCCTTAAAAATGTCATATGTTAATATTATTTTCCACTTTAAATGACTAATTTATTTCAACCACCATGAGTTCTGATCATACTTACAAAATATTAATTCATTTTCAGGATTTTAACCCATAAAATGCCATTGTTGTTTTTTATGAAGATAAAATCCATCCATCCATTATCTGTACACCACTTGATCCACACTAGGGTTGCAGGGGGAGCTGGAGCCTATCCCAGCTGACTTAGGGCGAAGGCAGGGGACACCCTGGACAGGTCGGGCCCTGAAGATAAAATACAAAAATGAATTATTGTGCATATAATAAGAGCTACATGGAAAAATCTTATTTTTGGCTATCACGGGCTAGGATGTCTCAATGATTAACACCAACATTGATTTTAATGCATTATTATTTTTTATGCACTGTCAGATTCTTTTTTTTTTCTTTTCTTTCTTTTCTTTTTTTTTTCTTTTTCTTCTTCTTTTTTTTTTTTTTTAACAAAAACTCAAATTCAGGCCTATATATTACTAGTTTTTTCTGTCACTTTTTCATATTTGATACATAAATTATTTTAACCAACATTACTTGTGATCATAGAAACCAAATATTCAAAAGTTTTGGGGATTTAATCCCAGTTACATTTCTTGAAGGAGTACATGTGTGGGTGTGTATTGACCTCTGTATAGGTGAGTGAGTGAGTGAGTGAGTGAGTGAGAAATGTGGAATTTGTATTCTGTAGTACATTATAACTTCTCTATCTCCGAATGCACACTTACACACAACATTTTGAATACACACATACACATCACACTGTGACATCCCTACCAACATCCCCAAAACATTTTAGTTGTAAACTTTTTACCACTGACCTGCAGAGCTCTATAGTACAGCAGGAAGTGACAAAACAAATAATGCCTGTATTATTACATTATTACATCGGCCAAATATGAAAAAAAGACACGATATAGTTTAAAAAAGGTAAAATGACAATTTTCAAGCAAAAGCCCCAGAATGAAGTAATAATAACATAGAATGCATCATTTCAGGATGTAATGGCAGAGGGATCAAAAATAGCAGTTATCATAGGTTTGAATTGGGCCATTTTTGCCTTTAAGGGCCTGAGTGGCACAGTTTTGCTTACACAGTATATTATTAATGTGCTATGGGGTGTTGAAGTTAAAATTTCAAAATGATCCTTAAAATACATACCTTTACCAAATTCTATGGCAAATGCATAGACAGCCAAAAATATCTAAAAAATCAAAAATGAAAAGGACAAAAATGTCCTCATGGGCACATGATGGTTAAAGTTTATGTGAATCACAACTAAGCTTTGTGTTATTTTAAACTTTTTCTTTTCTTGTAAAGAGGGAATAAATTGAAATTTCTAATACTTCCACATACAAAGGCCAGCATTTGAATCAAAAATAATTTGTCAACTTTAAACAGTTGGAATATGATTGATATCATTTGGCAGATTGTACATAAACTATAACAAGTTCTAATCTGTGCTGATACCATTCTGCTCTGAGTGTGACAGTGTGGAACAAGACCAGCTAATGACAAGCAAGTCTCTGTAAGCGTACTCTCCTGTGTATCAATATTAAATATAGGAATAGTGGTGCTAGGCTGCAACTAAAGGAGGAGAGAATATTAACATGAAGGAGTCCATCGACCAGTCTTTTCAGTGATTTAAATAAAAGGGAATTCATTTACAGTAGTAGTACAGTAGTAGTCCTACAGTAGTTTTAAAATATACACACACATTATTGATGTTACAGCTCGAAAAATAATCAAACTGTCTTGCATTACCGAGCTATAGTAGGATTTAAGATATTCTGTTATTTTGCTCAAACTATTTATTTCTGCATATTTACATTTAAAAACAGAAGCTGGGGAGATTGTCATGAACTTGAGTTCAACAGCTTTCTTAATGTAATATTTATCTTAAGTAGTTCTAACTCTTGTTAAGTAGCATTTATAAGCTTTATAAGGAGGTCCCCAAGCTTCTCCTGGTGTGCTAGTGTACCTCCTAGGTGTAGTTGGTCCCAAAAGCCCTGTATGCTGCTGTCTGATCCTTTACCGTCTTTCCACTGAAATCTCACTTCATAGGGCTCAACACGCTGATTCTGAGGATACCTAGCTTAGTCTTAGGGCACAACCAAACATCCTCCTGTGAGAAGTCAACAACCTACACTGGAAACACTTGATTATTGAATAATGTGGCTGTAGTTACAATGATCAAACCACCAGATAAGGTGTTGTTTCCTAGCTCCACCAACATGCTGGGACTTTCATCAAACTTTGGTCCCCTTGCCAAGATTGTAGCAATGGCGAGGTGTGTACATGAACTCTGCATTTGCCTGTCACGCATGCTATGGACAACTTTTCAACAAGCTCTGCGTTCTGTACTTTTTTGATGGCCTCTCTCCAAACAGAATCTTACTTTTCCCTTCATGAGCTGCATCTACCTCAAAAAATACTGTCTACATTGTTTAGCAACCAATAATGCCAGGTAAGGATACATCTGGTTCTTTGCTGTAATAATCTTTGATTATTAAGAAACCACACTCTGGGACAGTCTTCATGTCTAGCTCAACATAGCCAAAGTAAGGTAGTGGGAGCTTGTTGGCTACTGTTATTTTGAGCCATTTAACAGTAAATTACGTGTCCTCATCTTCTCCATGAAGGTTGTCTCTGAAAAAGCTTTTACTCAGTGTGCTGTATTGGTTCCTCTGTCCAGTAAGGGGAGCACCCCACATCTCAACATCTATTTCAGGACATTCCCCTACAGCCTGTTCCGAAAAATGCTCTTTTTTAAAAAGTGCCCACTGACTTGGATTGCATTGCTCAGCTCATAGCAATGTGGCCCTTGCATTTCCCTACATTGCAGGAGAATGATTTGCTGGTTTATGTGGGGTGGTACACTGTCTAGCCATGTGCCCCACTTCTTCTCTTGGTAGACAGATGGGCTGTCCACCACTAGTATACATGTTACTACCTTCTGAAACCAACATTTTCATAGTAAAGTCAACACACAGCAGACAGGCAGACTGAATTAACAAAAGGTTACTTTCATAAAACTCATTGTTGGGGTGGATAACTGGAAGGTCCAGTCCCTGGTGAATCTGTACTCCTGACTGTAACTACACTGTCAAGACAAAAAAGGTGACTTTCCTGTTTTTCACATTATGCAAATTATGGAAAAAGCCATTATTATCCAAGAGGCTTTTTGTAGAACAAACTGAATCTGAGTCAGAGAAACAAAACTTGTCACACCATCAGTGACGGACTGCTTTGTTGCCTGCATTACTGCTGTCTCACTGATGTGTTAAGTGTTGTCTTGAATGCTCCCTCCCTGCAGTTACGTTGTCTGTAAGCTTCTCACTGCCGTGAATGCCAGCATGCTGGTTTTCCCATGTCATGAATTCCTGCTTAGTGAATAATCACCCATCCATACCACTTTTCATAAACTTGACTTAAACATTTTAAAGACAGGAAGATGTTTTCAGTTTAATGAATGATTGAATATTGGGCATACATATGTTGGATTTAAACATTGTCTAACTGGATCAGTATTTTAATCCAATAATGTCTGTGGTTGCTTTAGCACAAAAAAACAAGTTTCAAGTGACAACTTGTCCTAAGTGGTTTAAATTGTTCACTTTTGATAACTGCTGGGCTAAAACTTCTGATCATGGCTTCTGTCCAAACACTAATGGGTAGAAGTTGTTATTTTCTGCAACATCACAATACTGACCACAACATGACTTTAAATTAATGAAAGCTGACAAAGATTTTATCAGCATATTATC